AAGCCAAATACCTCTTGTAAGTGGGCCCAGTCCCAGCACTAGTGGCAGTTGGCCTCCGTTTGCAGCTTGATCTCTCCTTAGCACCTCAGAGCCAAGCACAAGCAGCAGCCATCCGGAGATCACTTTGTAGCTCATGCCAGGTAGATCCTACAGATGACCTTGGCCTGAACCTACCAGGAAGACCCAGAACCAGCACAACTAATGGATAGCTTCAGACCACCTTCCAACCTCCTCCACAAGGGACACACTCAAAGGGTGGACGCAACAGGAAACAGGGCCCCAGTGAAGCTCCATGGGTTTGACCCCTGCACAGCTGATCCTCCATGGTGGTTATAGTCAGTCCTGGGAGCCAATCTAGTCCAAGGGAAAAGCCCTCTAACTGAGATGCCAACAGCAATCAAGGCTTAACTTCAACAGGAGAGTATACATAGCATACAGGGGGACGGGGGAGGCAGGGGACTTGGAGTGCCCAGCTCAGGTGACTGGGGAGGCTGTGCTACTAGACCCTATAGGACAACTACTATATAAAGCCACACTACCAAGCAAGGAGACATAGCAAGTCTACCTAATACATAGAAACAAACCCAGGGAGTCAGCCAAAATAAGGAAACAAAGAAACATGTCCCAAATGAAAAAATAAAACAAAACTCCAGGGGGAAAAAACTAAACAAAATGTAAACAAGCAATCTACTAGATGCAAAGTTCAAAAACACTGGTTATAAGGATGGTCAAAGAACTTCGTAAGAACTGCAATAAAGATAGGAAACATAAAAACGGAAATAGAACACATAAAGAACCAGTCAGAAATAAAGAATACACTAACTGAAATAAAAAATACATTACAGAGAATCAACAGTGGATCAAATCAGAGATTTCGAAGGAAACAGAAAACATCCAATAAGGATAACAAAAAGAAAAAAATAATCCCCAAAAGTAGATAGTATAAGGAGCCTCTGGGACAACTTCAAGCATACCAATATTTGCATAATGGGGATGCAGGAAGGAAAAGAGAGCAAGACACTGAAAACTTATGTGAAAAATCATGATGAAAAACTCCCCTAACCTGGTGAAGGAAATACACATACAAGTACAGGAAGCACAGAGAGTCCCAAACAAGATAAACCAAAGAGGCCCACACCAAGAGACATCATAATTATAATGCCAAAAGTTAACGACAAAGAGAGAATCTTAAAAGCAGCAAGAGAAAAGCAGTTATCTACAAGAGAGCTCCCATAAGACTGACAGCTGATATCTTAACAGAAACTTTGCAGGACAGAAGGGATTGGCACAAAATATTCAAAGGGATGAAAAGTAAAGACCTACAACCAAGACTACCCAGCAAAGCTATCCTTTAAAATGGAAGGACAGTTAAGAGCTTCCCAGACAAGAAAAAACTAAAGGAGTTCATCACCACCAAACCAGTATTACAAGAAATTTTAAAGGGTCTTCTTTAAGAAGATGAAGAAAGAATATAAAAAATATGAATAAAAAAAAATATATATGAATAATAAAATGGCAATAAATACATATCTATCAACAATTACTTTAAATGCAAATAGGCTAAATGCTCCAATCAAAAATACCTATGGAGGCTGAATGGATAACAAACAAGACCTTTACATATGCTGTCTACAAGACACTCACTTCAAAAGGGATGGAAAAAGATATTTCATGAAAATGGAAACAAAAAAAAGCTGTGGTAGCAATACTTAGGCCAAAATAGATCTAAAAAACAAATTAAATGAACAAGCATAACAGAAACAGAGTCAGAGAGAGAGAACATTTTGACAGTTGCCAGAGAGGAGGGAGTTGGGGATGATGGGTGAAAAGGGTGAAGGCATTAAGAAGTACAAATTGGTAATTACAGAATAGTTATGAGGATGTAAAGCACAGCACAGGGAATATAGCCAATAATCTTAAGAGGTAATATGCAAATAGACCATCACACCCTCACAAGATGGCTGCCTACAACCAGGCCGGCAGGGGGGTTAGTGAGGGACAACCAAACGACTGAACAGTAGGCTATGTGGGCAACCAGGCCTGCACTGGGCCTCTAGTATTGTAATAACTATGTATGGTGTCAGATCAGTACTAGATTTATAAGGGTGATACTTCTTAAGTTATATAATGTCTATTCCCTAGGTTGTATGCCTGAAACTAATATAATAGTACTAGAGGCCTGGTGCACAAAAATTTGTGCACT